AAGGCCTGCAGTGACAGGACGAGGGGCAATGGCTTCAAGCTGGAGGGGAACAAATTTAGACTGGAGATGAGGAGAGGGTTCTTCACTGGGAGGGTGGTGGAGCACTGGAACAGGTTGCCCAGGGAGGTGGTTGAGGCCCCATCCCTGGAGATATTCAAGGTGAGGCTCGACGAGGCCGTGGGCAACCTGGTCTAGTTGGGGGTTCCCTGCTGACTGCGGGGAGGTGGGACTAGATGGCCTTTGGAGGTCCCTTCCGGCCTGGGCAATTCTATGATTCTGTGATTCTCATACAGTTGGATTTGGGGTTGAATTGCCACAAAACTCGGAGAAGCTCAAGACACAGCCCATGTCACATCTCTACATGTGCTGTGCCCATGCCTGAGCCAACTGGAAGTCCAAACTCAGTGCCAAATCAGCACGAAGGGATCCCACCTCTCAGCTGAGTTCACTGCTGAACTCAGTGTGCCAGTCCAGAGCTGGGACATGTCCAGTCCAGAGCTGGGACACGTCCAGGTGTCTCCAAACATGGGCAGAATGAACAAGCATCTACCTGCAGAGCACCGTACAGAGGCAGCAGGGAAGAAGCAGGCCGGGTTCAGGGTGAAGTCAGGCTCTCCAGGGTCACCCCCTCAGTCTCCCAGAGGTTAATTCTCCAATACCCCAGAGCACGATGAGCAAATCACCTAAAGTCATAGGACCGGGCAGAAAAGGACCTGGGGGTGTTGGTGGACAGTCGGCTGAACATGAGCCAGCAGTGTGCCCAGGTGGCCAAGAAGGTCACCAGCATCCTGGCCTGTATCAGGAACAGCGTGGGGAGTAGGGCCCGAGAGGTGATTGTCCCCCTGTACTGGGCACTGGTGAGGCCTCACCTTGAGTACTGTGTCCAGTTTTGGGCCCCCTACCATAAAAAAGACATTGAGGTGCTGGAGCGGGTCCAGAGAAGGGCGAGGGGTCTGGAGAATAAGTCTTATGAGGAGAGGCTGAGGGAGCTGGGGGTGTTTGGTCTGGGGAAGAAGAGACTGAGGGGAGACCTTATTGCTCTCTCCAACTCCCTGAAAGGAGGGTGTAGAGAGGTGGGGGTCGGTCTCTTCTCTCAAGTCACAGGCGACAGGACAAGAGGAAATGGCCTCAAGTTGCCCCAGGGGAGGTTCAGGCTGGATATTAGGAACAATTTTTTCACTGAAAGGGTTCTCAGCCATTGGAATGGGCTGCCCAGGGAGGTGGTTGAGGCCCCATCCCTGGAGGTGTTCAAAAGAGGGGTTGATGTAGTGCTGAGAGGTCTGGTTTAGTGATGATCCTTGTTTGTTGTGTGGGTGTTTATTTTTGTCAAAATTAGGTTGACGGTTGGACAAGATGATCTTTAAGGTCCCTTCCAACCTAGAAGATTCTGTGATTCTGTGACACACAAGCAAGATAAGCTCAGGCTGGTTGGTTCATCTCACCATCAACTCAGACCCCCATCAGAACATCTAAGGTGCCCAATACCAGGCCAGTTGGTGTCACACAAAAACACCCAGACACATCTCTGACCGATTTACTTTTTTCCCCTCCAAAAAACTTAGGGTTTTAGGGTATTTCCCCAACCTTCCCAGCAGCTCCCAGGCGTGGGTGTCACTGAGAATCGCTGCTGCTGCTGGGAAGAATCCTTCAGCAAAACACACTTTGAACGGGATCCACAGAGAAGAGGTTTGTGTTTCCTGAATGGAAACGAAACCCCTTTCTATAGGCTGGAGAGGAGATTTCAATGGCCAAACTGTTCCCTCCAGCCCTTATTTTCTTTGGACCTGGAGTATACCCCACATGAGACATCTGGCACAGAGCTCACAGGATACAGTTTGCTTTGGCGCTGGCCAGCTTTTGGAGCTCACAGTGTTTAAATAGGATTTTATGAATTGAACAGTCTCTCACTCTCTTCTGTAACGCTTCAAATTAAGGTTTCCACATATGCCTTTAATAGAGATTCACTAAGACACTTATTGCATGTTAAATAAACACCGCACGGTGAAATAGAACACCCTCACTGAGGATTAACAAACATACAATTCAGTCGGGCTGCTGCAGCTGTTAAACCTCAAATCCAGCTTCAATGTCATCATCAGTCATTTTATTAAGATAATAATTGCCCTATTAATGCTAATTAAGTGACTAATGCCCTTATGCCCCTGTGACACTGCTCAGTGATAACCCCCAATGCAGACACCACAGTTCCCTCTCCATCTCCAGGGGGTTAGTTACCAGGAGAGCCAGGAGTTGCTCACTGTCCACTACTCCCAGTAGGGTTCCAGACAGAAGTTAAGAGAAGCAGGACCTGGCTTTTTGGAGAACGAAGGGGAAGGTGTGGAAAAACACAACAAAAATGAACATCTTCCTAACAACTTAACGGGCAGGTTAGTTCATCCAAAGGATGAGAGAGTCAAGCCTGTTTTCAAGCAGGTAAAGAGGGCAGAGCAGTAACTGCAGCTGGTGGTGTTGGCCAGGAGAGCCAGTAAAATAGAAAGGGATCCCTGCTCTATCAACCAAGCTTCCTTCCATGCCCACACACACAAAGAACACCCCAGCAGGACCCTGTTGGGAGGGCTGGGGAAGCCCAGCCCTCTGCTCCGAGGTGCTGAGGCCCATCCAGGAGGTCTGAGGGGAATGGAGGACACTGATTCACAGCCTGCACCTCCCAGGGTGACCTGACCTTCCATCCTGAGATGGCCCAGATGTTCCAGTTTGGGCTACGAAAGGGGCTCAGCAGCTGCTGAAGCTGAAGCTGTGTCATAACACTTGGCTCGCTACGCAGAGAGATTCCCCTGCCCCTCGCTCCCAGCTCTTGGGTGGCGATGATGACTTTTAAAAGTTTGTAAGAAAGAAAGCAAAAGTGGATTCCTTGCAGCCTCGTCATTTTAGTTGGAAAAAATATCTTCCATAAATGGTAAATATAATTGACCTCATGGCAAAAAGGGGCAGGGAGGAGCAAGTTATCACTCGCCATGTGATAGGAACCTTAAGTGTAGCTCAGGGATCCAACCTATTAGCACAGGCAGGCTCCCATTTGTTCAACTATAAAAGAACACGTTGCCAAGACCCTATAATGGACTGCAGATTTAGATATTGATTAATTGTTCAAACATCTCTGAAATGTACTAAGTTAAAAGGGAAATGACCTCATGTTTCCTCTGAGACTCTTCACCTTCCTCCCGCTCCAAGAATTTCCCCAGCAGGGCTTGCCGTCCCTTTGCTGTGGGGGACTCCAGCACGACTCCCAGCAGCCCTTTTTGGGGAGCAAAGCTCAAAAAAACCAACCCAAACAGCCTCCTCGTTAACCTCTTCCTCAAGCTTCCTCTACTGGCATTGAGGGGAAAAAAAGGAAAGAGTAAAAAAAGAAAAGGTCAGCGAGAGTTTTGACTTGAATCTAAGCCTGACTTCTGTGGGTCAGGTCACGTTGTAACTAGACACACTGGGGTTTGAACATGGAAAATAAGAATGAGAGAGAGAAAATAGAGCTTTGCTGATCCCTTAAAGTTTTTACACCACCTTTACCAAGCCCCTGAGACCGTGGTACAGAGAGCAGAGACCCCACGGGCCCACCCAGACACCCCACACTTCTGCCCAACCCGCAAAGGCAGGGCTGCATCCCCAAGTACAGTTGATTTTTATTCCATTCACTTCTTCCCTGTTCTTCAGGAAAAGCATCAGCAAGAGGATGGGAGCACCAAAAGCTCCTGAGATACCCGAGCACAGGTAAATGTCACACAAACATGCCAATGTTTGGAATTCAAAGCACTTGGATCAGAGCATGATCTCACCAGGAGAGACACACCACATCCCACTCCAAACCCAGGGCTCCAGAGAAGACACTTGGCAAGACCGGGAAGGGGAGGCCAGTAACCATGACAACCACTCATTTCTTAGCATCAGCCAACAAAAAATGACTCCTGGAGATGCAAGCCCCATGACCAGTGCTTCCATTTCCCCTCCACACACGGAACTACACCCAGGAATGTCACACGGGCTCCCCTTTCATTGAGAGACACCCCCCCATATAAATACCCCCTCTCAGCACACCCAGGGGAAGCCACCAAATTTCTTACTTCTGGGTCACAATCTTCAACACCAACACACACAGATGCCCAGCAGCCACCTCCGAGCATTTGGCTTCCAAAGGCTGGGAAAAACAACCAGGAAAAGCCAGGTGAAAATTAACAATACGGATGCTAAGGAACAGCCCAAACTTAAGGAAAACCACCATTTTGTGGCAGAGCTTCACCCATCCAGAAGAGATTCTGAAGTGTGTGACTTAATTCTCATTGTTATTCACCGTACACACCAGGTAAGGAGCTTTCATCTCCACCGGGGCGACCACATCACCGCTTTTTATGATCCGTGCACAGCCCATAAAATTAGGAATAAAATTAAAGCTATTCAGATCTCAGCATCAACACGGTCACGGCGCAGGGAGAAGCCCTCCCAGCCCACCCCCCAGGCATCTCAAACAGCTCCCACAAGTTAATCCTTCCCCTTCTACTTACTACTTTCACTGCCTTGGTGTCACCTGGGTCTTCCCAGCACCTCGGGGACCTTTTGGTGGTGGTGGTGTCCTCCCAGTACGTCCATCCAGCCAGAGAGCTGCTCCATGAAAAGCCTCAGTTATTCCAAGGGAGCCAGTTGTTGTTGTTGTTATCTGCTCCTGTTTTGGGGAGAAGAAAGGGTTTTTAGATCCCTGGCCACAAAAGGTAGCAGTGGAAATGGGAAGTTAGGAATTGGGGGAAAACCTCTGTTACTTTTGTGAGTTCCTTAGCACTTGGCCCCAACTCAGGCTTCTTCTAGACAACCTTTGTGTTCTCAAAGTGAGGGGTTTTTCAAAAGTTGAACCACACCCCCCCTTGCCTCCTCTCCCAGCAGCTCTCCACTCCCCAGAAAGTGATCAAAATAGAGTCACTGCCCACCCTTTTTCCCCCCCAAATTCAAACAGCATTTGTACTTCAGCATTACTCTGGGCTATTCACTTCCCACCTTGATTTTCCTGCACGTGGCCAACCACAGGATCCCAAAAGCAGCACAGCTTGATCTCCTGCAGAGGAGTTTTCAGCCAGGGTCTCCAACGTTCACCTCCTGCAAAACCATAGTCCTGCTTCCAGCTCCTCTCCTTCAAGCTTCCAGCTGCCCAGGAGAGGTCACTGAGCAGAAGGCAAGAGCAGCTAGCTCAACCCCTCCGAGAAGCAGTATTTAAGCCCAGCCAGGTGCTTATGTTTTGCCTAATTGGCAGATTTGGGTCAAGCTGCAGCTCCAAATCCAGACCTGAAGGGAACCCATACACAGCCCAACGTCCACCCAGTCACAGAATCACAGAATGGTTTGGGTTGGAAGAGACCTCACAGACCATCCAGTTCCAACCCCCTGCCCTGGGCTGGGACACCTCCCACCACACCAGGTTGCTCCAAGCCCCCTCCAACCTGCCCTTGAACCCCTCCAGGGATGGGGCAGCCACAGCTTCTATTCCAGGCTCTCCCCACCCTCACAGCAAAGAAGTTCTTCCCCACATCTCAGCTCCATCTCCCCTCTTCCAGTGTCAAACCCTTCCCCCTCATCCTAGACCTCTCCATTCCCCTCTTCCAGTGTCCAACCCTTCCCCCTTGTCCTAGACCTCTCCACTCAATGATCCAAAGTCCCTCCTCAGCTTTTTTGGAGCCCCTTGAGGGACTGGAAGGGGCTGGAAGGTCTCCCTGGAGCCTTCTCCAGGCTGAACCCCCCCAACTCTCTGAGCCTGTCCTCCCAGCAGAGGGGTTCCAGCCTTTGGACCATCTCCATGGCCACCTATGGACCTGCTCCAACAGGTCTATGTTCCTTCTGGAAGGAAGAGCTGCCCAAGGAGCTTCTTCTGTGCCAAATAAAACTGCCCCATGGGCTGGCTCCCAGATGACCAGTTAGCCAGCCAAACTTGGGGTCATGCTAGTTGTGTTTGGCTCCCAACTCTGTGTAAGTCACACCATTTCCCGGGTGCCAGGATTAGGTGTCTGCTCTGTGAGGACCTTTGGGTGGCTGTGGGCCAGGAGATCCGTGCTCCTTTCCCTTGCTAACTCCAAAGCTGACGCAGGGCAGCTTCTCAGCTGAGAAAACAGCCCAAGAACCTACGTTTTTTCCTAAGGAAGGGGTTCATCCCCCTTTGAGCACCTGCTCTTCTGGCTCGTGATCACTCTGTGCATCCCAGAGAGAAGCTCCATGCCACAGAGAGGACCAGGACTGTTTGAGATGTCAGCACCCACAGCTGCTGTGTGGTGTTGTCGATACACCAGAGGGATGGGATGTCATCCAAAAGGACCTGGACAGGCTGGAGAGGTGGGCCCAGGTGAACCTCATGAGGTTCAACAAGAGCAAATGCAAGGTTCTGCACCTGGGCCGGAACAATCCTCACCATCAGTACAGACTGGGGGGTGAGGGATTGGAAAGCAGCCCTGAGGAAAGGGACTTGGGGGTGCTGGTGGAGGAGAAGCTGGACATGAGCAGGCAGTGGGCACTTGCAGCCCAGAAGGCCAATCCCATCCTGGGCTGCATCAAAAGCTGCGTTGCCAGCAGGTCCAGAGAGGGGATTCTGCCACTTTACTCTGCTCTGGTGAGACCTCACCTGGAGTCTTGTGTGCAGGTCTGGAGCCCTCAATAGAAGAAGGACATGGACCTGATGGAGAGGGTCCAGAGGAGGGCCACAAGGATGATCAGGGGGATGGAGCACCTCCACTACGAGGACAGGCTGAGGGAGCTGGGGTTGTTCAG